TTTCAGAGGCAGTCCCGTGTACAATATTAGACTAATCCAAATGGGAGTAAATTAGTCCATGGCTGGCATTTTGCACATCTAGACAGAATGAGAATTGGATTAGCAGCTTCAGTTGACAAAACATGCTTCTTGCCACCAAAACCACTCAGTCATTTAATAATAGCATTGGAGCTAACAGCATACTCATACTGAAAACCTGTAAGGGAATCATATTTTGTCTTAGTCTGGGATGGGTTTTAGATTTTTGGACCCTACCACTATATCTAACAGATCTTCAGGTTCTCCTGGATTAGGAAGAGTTAAAAAAATATTTCATTATGGAGTCTCCTAATCCAAAACAAACTTTTGAATGGTGCTTCCATAGTGCCAACATTTCCATTTCCCAATCCCTCAAATGTACTTCAAGTGTGATCCATGACCATCGTCTCTTCTGCTGAGCTCTCAATGCTAAGAAAAATCACCAATTTGCCCAATTACAATCCTAGTAAAATTTAAAAAACTGTTTTGACACAGAAAATATAATAATTGTTTGCTCACACAGCACTCCTATACAAGACCGTACTTTTAATAAAAGTCCAGCTGGTGTTATCTTGGAATCAATAACTGGAAGATTTTACACCATCTTCTCAAGCAATTTATGTCTTTATAAGTAGCAACTTTAAACTTCTGAAGTCTCTTTCCGCAATAAGGTAGGCTCAATTCCTATACTTTCATTTTCAAGTTATCATAGCTTGACTTAGCAAAAGGTACTTTTGATCACAGAATTCCAATTCTAATTCTCCAGTATTCAATTGGCTGATATAAAACTGTTCTGACTCTCTCTGACATCAGAGCAATAAAAGCCAATGGCAGCTAAAAAGACCATCCTGCTTCTGCTTTCAAAAATCTGCTGTGATAATAGGGCAGATCAAGTGAAGGCTGTGGTTTCACTGTAATAACCTGTGGTTTCATTATAATAATTAGCGGCATTTATAATGCTCATCACCTGTAGCTCACAGTACTTCTTTGTAAAGCAATGATCTCCGGATGTGAGATTAATGGGATCCAGTTGGGTTATCATACCACATAGTAGTTTTTTAATCCCACCAGAATGTGGGCTTTTGTTATTGTCAATAAAGTTGCTGCTGAAATCCCTGTTTCCTAGCATGGAAATGCAAATTTATTAACATTCAATAATTACTGAAAACATGGTGCAAGCATGATGAATTAAAAATTACTATCTATCTCACTGGTGTCTAACTTGTGGCGTCATGTGACATATCGTGATTTTTTTTGCCTTCGCGAAGCTGGGGTGGGCGTGGCCTGTCGACCCCTGTGGGCTACCAGTTTAACACTCCTGCTCTACCTCTTCCCACTCACATTAGCATAAACTCCCCTCTTCCAATAACAGATGTGGTGGTGGTGAAAGAAGCCTTCCTTCTCCCTCCCAGCTTCTATTCCTTATATCAGACTCCTACAAAGATAAATGTCTCAATGTTTTTGTGGATTGGCATGCTGCCATATCAGATGAGAAGATGCCTTTTCTTTTTCATTTCCATTGTTACAGCCAGAGTTGCAGTAGTAGGTTTCAAATCCCATCGCTACTGGTTCGCTTGTGGACATGCATGTGCAACACTTCTGCGCATGCACAGAGATGTCCGGGCGGGTGGGCAGAGCCTCCCGCTGCCACTACCGGTTCGCCCGATCGGGGCCAACCGGTAGCAACCCACCACTGCAGAGCTGTATACAAAGTAAGGAGGTTGCTAGGTGGACATTTATAATGAAAATACAGAGAAATAGAAGCTGTTATCTTCACAGTTATCTTCACTGATGAGCAGAGGTGGTGCAGTGGTTAGAGTGCAGTACTGCAGGCTACTTCAGCTGACTGCTAGCTGCAGTTCCGTAGTTCAAATCTCACTGGCTCAAGGTTTACTCAGCCTTCCATCCTTTTGAGGTGGGTAAAATGAGGACCCAGATTGTTGGGGGCAATATGCTGACTCTGTAAACTGCTTAGAGAGGGATTTAAAAGCATTATGAAGCAGTATGTAAGTCTTAAGTCCTATTGCTATTGCTATTCACAATGATATTAGCAAGTCCTTGCTCCAAGTAGATGTGAACTTCATGGAACTCTGCTTGGGTTGAACTGAGCTGTATGTTTTTTACATTTTGGAAGCAGTCTGAAGGAAGAACTCACCCTATTTCCATTTTTCTCAGGTTCACTTGCAAATTAGCTACTTAACTGCACTAGCGGTTACGAGAAGTGTTTATTGCAAGATGATTGAGCAAGCAGGAGCTTATGTTTTCCATGTGAGACTTACTTGAATGGCTCCGTCCCCCTTCAAAACAAATTTGATCTTTAACCAAGAGGGTTACCGTATTGTTCCAAACCACCATTTTGTCTCCTTTTGATTTTTGTACCAAAGACATAAAATGATGCAGCCAAGAGATGAGCATGGTCCACGTTGTGCTTCTGTTGTTTATTTGAGTAAATGCAAATGTCTATCATTAGCTGGAGATGTTTACTAAAAATTGTGCGGCTGGTAGGCCACTCCCAGTAGAAATGACACAGTGTCCATGAAACCCTGTGATTAAAGTCATTGTTCCATAGACAGAAACAAGCTACATGGCCCCCCACAGCGTAGCTCCTTTCCCCTTTTATCTACAACATTTGTCGTTTATCTCTGGTGGTTTATCAGAGGCTCAGCCATTGTATTCTAATGATGCAACAAGGAAAACAGAGGAGAAAGTGAAAGATTGTAGCTTCCTCCTTCCATCTTCAGTTACTAAACTAAGCCTTTGTTACAATAACTCAAGTTCTATAAACTTTCAAAATTTCTTGGCTTAAGTGATAACAGAATATGTGGGGTTCCATTCCTTCTTTTCGTCCATTTCTCATATTTTCTCCATGCAGCTATGGAGCAGATGACTGGGAATACCTATATGATATCAGGTGGAATGATAGTTTGTTTACAGGTAATACATAGAGCTTCAAAAAGACCTATATGAGAAACACAAGGATTACTTTCATTACTTTAACTTACATACCAGCTCTAAATATCTGAAAGGTATATTTTTTGATAGAAAATAAATGCAACATAGTCAGATAATTTCAACATAATTTTATTATTAATTTTACAGTGCCTAATTTGCAGGTCCCAAATTGCATGCATCTTTGAACCTGGAATAGTGGCCGATGCAATCCTACAGTGAGAGCCAAATTGATGTAGTGGTTAAGATACTAGGCTAGAAACTGGGAAATGGGGAGTTTAGTTCAGCCCTGGGAAAGAAAACCATTTGGGTCATTTTGGTCCAGTCATTCTCAACCCTAGGAAGAAGGCAACAACAAACCACTTCCCAAAACATTACTAAGAAAACTGTAGGGACTTGTCCAGAAAATTGACAAATGTCAAATTAAATTTTGCAGGATAAAGTGAATGCAAAACTTCAAAGAAGCAATCACAGAAGAACAATATAAAAAAAAATCAATAAAATGTACTCTAAGCTATGATTTCAGGGGAAATTGATGTTAAATGTTTTGCAGATGGCATATATCATTGTCAGTTATCACCAAAGTAGACAAATCATATAACAACAAATGTGGGAAATGCTATATAAAAAAGTAACATTTTACATGTAGTAGTCATGCAAAAAAAATTTCAAAAGTATTGGAAAGAAATACATCAAAATATCATCATCAGAATTCTTAAACATAAAAGTTGAACTGAAACCACAAATATTTTTATTAAGAATAGCGCTAGAAAACATATATATGAAAAGCATCACAATTTACTAAGAAATTTATTGTTGGTTGCAAGAACAATTTTGTTAAAATATTGGAAAAGTGAGATTTTGCTGATAATACAAGATTGGAAGCCCAAAATTGGAGAATGGTAAAATTGGCAATGACTGTCCATATATATTCATAATAAAATTCTAAATAAATTCAAATAAGACTGACTCACTTATACGTGATATATTACATATAGCAAGATAAATATTGAAACACAGTTTTTAAGAAAAAAGGTAAGAGACCAATCCAAAATAATAGATGAAATTATTTAAATAAATCCTAGCAATAACTTCAAATGTTTAATGTTCAAAGTACAGTATTTGAGGAATGGTTAGCAGCTAGGGAAATAAATGGAAAGGAAGGAGAGAATGCACTTCCAAAAGTGTTTTGGTTTTTTGCACAATGTATTTATTTCTGTTTTACTAGTAATTGGTGGCTTCTGCTTTTCTTTTTGTATCTTTATTCTTGTGCAACTCCTGTTTAAATAATCTGTCAAAGTTTATGCAATTTAAAAAAAAAAAACAGTGAAAGATTCACACTAAAACATTCAAAAAATTGTATCAAAATTCAATTTTCTAGCCACTGTATTACCATGTACCCACAGAATAAACATATAACTTCTCTTTCAACACCAGCTTGCCTTTATCACTTTAGTTCCCTGAAATCTTTCCTCAAGACCCACTTTTCACTTGGAACTGCTGTTTCAATCTCCTAATCCTCTTTATAACTTATTACATGGTCTATTGCAGAACAATGTTAGCTGGAGATATCCAGTTCACCCTTGCCTTATTAGTCTTCTCATTTGTCATTTCCTTCATGCTAAATTTTATACTGTAAACTCTTTGGGGGTTGGGACTAAGGACTTCTCTTTCAAATCCATGTCCAATGATGGAACAAATGAATAAATACCAACAATAAAAGCTTCATTTGGTAAATTGTAGATAGCTAAAGTAAAAACATGCATCAAATGGTGCTGGATTGTAAAACTGTAAAAACATTAGTCTTGGACTAAACATTACAGTACTTATCCTATTAATTTGTATAAACCCTGGGCTTTTCCCCCAAATATTCTTCAATCTTCTGCTTATTTCGTAAGAGGTTTGTTCCTCAGATGGTGACTTTTGTCTAAAATCTTGCTTAGAAAAAGAAAGGGGTATATTTCATTATATGGAAGTTATCCATTTTAAAAGTTATACATTTAAAAGTTATCTTTCTATTTCTGTAATTATAGGATGTTACAGAATAATCAGATCACTCGAATTCCAGCAGAGGCTCTATGGGATCTTCCTAATCTTCAGTCACTGTAAGTCTTTGTGGATTGTCATTCTGAACTATGGAAACTTTTAAGTAAGGGTGTTTTTTTCCCCTGTTGGCTTGAAAGAAATAGAAATCCAATCAGTGTTTGCTCTGATACCTGAGTAGGAAATAAACAGGGAAGCAATATTATATAATATATCAGAAAAGTTTGAAGTTGATTTTGATACAAACAATTTTAAAAGTTTTTGTTTTGCACAATTCTGCAGCCTGAGCTCCATATTAATCTTTATGCAACATGTCAGGATATAATATTGTCAAAATGAATGGAGTCAAGAGCAAATAAATAATACAAACAAGGGCCAATATTTTTGACTTAGCACAAGCTGAGAAGCTCTGCTAATGCAGATTGGATGCTACTCTCAGAGGGTGTGTGACAATTTGCCATGGCCAACTTGCCATGGCCAACTTTCCAAAGCCAACTCACCACGGCTAACTCACCACAGCCAATTTGCCATGGCCAACTCGCTGTGGGGCAAGAGTTATACTAATAACAAAGAAATGGTGGAATAGAATCAATAAAGAAAGGATGCAAAAGGAAGGACAGAATGAAATGTGAATGGTAAAAATTAAAATAATTTATATTTATTTTAAATAATTAAATAGAATTGTTAAAATGTTCCACAGCGAGTTGGCTGTGGCAAATTGTCCCATAATGAATTGGCCATGATGAATTGCCTGTGGCAAGTTGACCATGGCAAGTTGGCCATGGTCAGTTGGCCATGGTGAGTTGTCCGCAGCAAATTAACTGTGGCAAGTTGTCCCATTCCCACTCTCAGACCACATTCTCCCATTTTGTGTTCTAGCAATTCCCTGCATTGTCACTTCTGAGTGTCTCATTATGTCCTAACTCTCTCTCCAAGTTTGCCTCCTTTGAAGACAATATCAGCTGCTGATTTGGAATTGAAAGGAATTGAAAAATGTTGACAGCGTATAAGCCAAAAGACTTTGGTTAGCAAAATTCCTCTCACATTTCTATGCATGGAAGTAAGAAAATATGATCCCATTCATAGCAGTTGTAATATATTTTATTGAGTCCTTTCCTATAGGGTAATCATATTTTAATGAATTCCTTGGCTTGATTTTTAAATGCCCTAGTTAATTCTTTAATATCCTGTTCCTGTTTTGACTTTACTGTAGTCCACCCAGTGTCTGTTTGGATTGGGGAATGGCTGTAAATATTTACAATAAATAACAAAGTCTAATAATAATTGCAGCAGAATAATTAGCACTATCCAGTTGCTCTTGCAGTCAGGAAGGTGCTTCTTTTTAACATTCAGCTGTCTGGTGCTTCATAGCATGCTTCTTCCTGATACCTGTACAGACTTAAGCATGCTCATCATCCCAGGTAGTAGAAAATGCCAGCCCTATCTGCTTTCTCGTCCTGTCCTCCATTTGTTAAGGACGGCCAAAGTGAGCCCAAATGTTTTTTTCTCATGCCTGATTTAAATCAGGCTCAGTTGTCTTCTTAGAAGATCTAGAAATATACTAGCCCTGCAACTGATATGCCTTTTTATTTCTGGAGTCTCTGAATGGCTTACAGTATTACTGAAAAGATTAAAAACGAAAATCATTTGATGCAATTCTGATCAATAATTTGATGTGCCACCATTTGGTAGCATGATTTTGTAGCAAGGTACTAAGGTAGCTCCACTGTTCAAGTCTACTGTCCTCCTAGCCTTTGTGATTCTTAATTTTTTAAAACAATAATTATATTATTTATAAATTATTTTTATAAATAATATATTTATAAGAGTCCTTTTTGATGAAATGGACAGGGATCTAAATTTGATAAATAATGTTTTTCTATAAGCATGGTTTTTTATAAGCATATTTTTCTATAAGCATGGTTAAAATGCTTATTCTATCAGAGGCTTTTATTTAATATTGGCAAGTTTAAATTGAAATGCCTCTGGCTGTGAATTGGCGATCAAAACCTCTCAAAATATGTGGAAATACTTACTATTATTAGATACTAACTCTGTCCATTTCAGATCAAGCTGATAATTTTGCTTAATCCTTTTATGATTTTACTATCTGTCTAGAAATAACCTGTAACAACCATAACAAGCATAAAATACTCTTTAAAATATTCCTCTTCATTTTTATTTTTTATTTTTTGGTCTTCAGTAGACGTTAATAAAGCATCATATAGACATTCATCTTTGGGGTGAATAAGCAATCTTTAGAGAGTTGAAAATGATTTTCCTCATGACAGATGCCTTACATTGTTAAGTCATTATGCAGTGCCACTCATTGTACAATCCCTCCATGATCCTATTTCAAAATAGGTCACTTCATAATTTTTTTTGTATACCTTACATGATTAAAATCACCAATCCAGATTTTGTAATTTTATTTTTAATCCTCTGTAAATTTTCAGCTCTAAGGAAGGCAAGGTTATGAGGAAATGGAGAGGATTACTTTCTCAAGCACTTTGATTCTGAAAGAAAAATAGAATGGGATTTCTTTGCAGGCACTGTCTTCTCAAAGCAAAACAAGGGATATCTCTACAGTTGAAATCCCATTCAGATTTATGTACAATTACTTTCAAAACAACCATGTTTTCATACAAAAGAGATGATTTGAGCTTACTTCCACAAACATGGGTTCTGGATAGCATCCAAGTAAATGAAGCATTTACTTTCTCTCTCAACAATGAGCTACAATGTGTTGGCTGAATTTGAATCTTTAATATTTGTAGTGAGAGAAGATGGCTTAATTTTATCTGTCAATGTGAATCCGTATATGGAAAGGAAAATGACTCAGAGCCAATACCCAAACAAACTATGGGTGGCATTCATCTCTGCTTCCACTTCATCTGCCATTCTAGGAGAAAATACTGAAAATACCAGCGTAGCTTTGGAAAGACAAAAATAAAGATAAAACCACATACTATATGTATTGAAATTACTTGCAGTAGGAGAAAAAAGAGGGGTTTAATTTTTCTTTACAAAGAATTGGATTATCCTGATTTTCTCTTGTACTGCACTAGAAAGCAGCAATATTGTCCCTTTAAGTAAAAACAGTGCACCCTTATCTAGATCGGGAATCTCTTGACAAGCCTCTTTTCTGATTTCTTCAGTAGAAGAATCAGGTGTCAAATACAATTAGTCCTTGACTTACAAGAATTATTTAGTGACCATTCAAAACAGTGGTGGGTTGCTCCCGGTTCTGTCCAGTTCTTGAGAACTGGTAGTAAAAGCAGCTGGAGGCTCCGCCCACCCGCCCTGACATCATATTTGGCAATCTGCGCATGCCGTTGCGAACCGGTAGTAAAGGTAAGTAGAACCCACCCCTGGTTCAAAGTTACAACGGCACTGAAAAAAGTGATTTAGGACCATTTTTCACACTTATGACTATTGCAGCATCGCAGTGGTCATGTGATCAAAATTCAGCCCCTTGGCAACTGACTCATATTTATGACGGTTGCAGTGTCCCAGGGTCATGTGATCAGCTTTTGTGACCTTCTGACAGGCAAAGTCAATGGGGAAGCCAGATTCACTTAACAATCGTTTCATCAACTTAACAACTTCATTTAAAACTATGGCAAGAAAGGTTGTAAAATGGGGCAAAATTCACTAAGCAAACAGAAATTTTGGGCTCAATCATGGTCGTAAATCAAGGGCTACCTGTACCAAGTCTGGCTGAAGCTAACCTATCTACTGCAAATGGCACTGGAACTCCATGCCCCTTTTTGTGAGATCGGTGCACTCTTTGAATAAAACATGGGTTTTATTTTGAATTTTCTCTTGTATGTTATGTCAGAAATGGGGAACCAAACATATCAATAAACATAATTTTTATAATCCTTCTTTGTAACATTTGGAGACAAAAACATGCAACACCTAGGGTCACAATTAACTTCAAATGGTATATCTGGCCTATCTGGCCTGATCTGTGAACTCACGGGGACCTACTTTGGGGTATCTCTAGACAACTACAGTTCTCTCTGCCATCACTCAAATGATTCAAGCCACTATGCTAAGGAGCACCATTGCCAAAGTTACAGTGGCTGCAGCTACTAATGGCCTATATTACATACTCTTCCACTTTCATCCCTAGTAGACATTTGGAGGCAAAATGGAGGGAATTTTAATACAAACCAGCCTCAGATCTATTTCATTTTATAAAAATGAATCAGATACTCCTCTTTCCTTTTGTACTCTGACATAAGCTTCCCTCAACAGTGACAATTTTCTTCCTAAAGCCAGATTTAATAAGGGGGGGAAAAACCTCTCTTTAGAGTGTTCCCAGCCCTTATTAAGTCCCATTAGACCAGTGCTTATTAGGATAAATTAGGTTTGATGTGAAAGAGATGAAAAGTTGTTGAGTAAATGGTTTTCCTCTTAGCAGACTGCTTTGTGAATTAAGGCATATCTCAAGCCAAGCTGATTTCCTCAGATTTCATGGGGGCTGCCAAATAGCTTTTTATTCAGAATTGTCTTATGCCAAATATCTCTCTGTTATTTCTATCTCTTCCTCTTGAGGATGGTCATTCATTGGGAAAAAAATCAGATCTGAATTAAAGACTTTTCTTCTTTTAGTATTTATGAGTTCCACAAGTCTCACACACACATACAGCCTCTCTATCTCCAACATGGAACTTTCATATATCATATATCACTGTAAAGCGGCTTTCAAATATTATATGTCCAATCCCATTTACCAGGGTTGTGGCTTTTTTACTTTCCTGAAGTTAGGACCCTGGCATGTAATTTCATAGAATACTATCCAAAAACCAGAAAATATACCAGAAAGCATTCCACACTAAATGCTGGAATGGAAGCTTTACAGATTGCGTGCAGGGCAGGCTGAACATGTTGTCCTTATAGCATGTTTCCATGATATTTGTATGTATATAATTTGGAGGAAGAAAACATCTTCTGAAAAACATATTATGATGCCATTATTACGCTCAGTGTCAGAACTCTCAAACACTAAAACTTTTTATGACCCTGTTATCCTGTTAATTTGCGGTAGAATTGG